CCGAGCTGACCAATGGCATAATTAAATTTGGTCGAATCACTGGTGATGCCAGCAATGCTGAACTGACCTTCCACTTGTGCGAACCATATCTCGGGTTCCTCTGGCCAAAACGGTGGTATGCGAATTCCGACCTTGCATACATGGGCTGAAGGTTCATTTTGCGAAATCCGTGCCTCCTGGAATTCGTCTTCGGTGTTGCTCATCTTAGTGTTCTTTGGGGTCACCAATGAAGGGGAAGGTAATGGGGTGACGTGGTGTCACCTCCGGTGTGGGAAGGTGCGAGTGATGATGATGTGAAGGTTGAGTGCGGCGACAGGTGAAATGAGGCACAGTTATATTCACAACACAGTTTATTATCACTCACAGTCCACAACAAATAATCAGAAGGAGAGTACAACACTGAGAAGAAGAATACAAGTAGGAGAAAGAGAAATGCACAAATTCGGATAACAAAGTAACAAGTTGCGTAATCGAAAGCGTGGTATGTCGCGGGCGCTGCGGAACTCCACTGTCGTTTCGCGCGTATGCAAAACCGGTCAGTGACCCCCGCTCAGCTGTGCGTTGCAATTCGAATTTGCCAATCAGAGGTCAACAAATCGACGTGACGTCGACCACTCGTCATGCACCCGTGTTTATGTGTGCGTGTATGCGTGTGATGTATGTGCGTGTATGTGTGACTGTGAAGTGTTTTAGGAAATATGTAGGAGGTCACCTACAAATTGTTATTTAAAAACTTACCTAGCGGCTTCATCTACGTCAATAATTTCAACAATAGGCGAGAGTCTGACGCGCGCGTGCGCCTCCGCGAGCCGGATGAGGGACTCCAGCTGTCGCGGGTAGGCGGAGATCTGACCGCGGCCGCTGCCCACACGTCTGTTACAACAAATTTAAGTTAGCCACTGCGATTGGGTTTGTCTGTGGATATAGTTTCGCCATTTCGGCGAACTTAGGTGGCAAAAATCGCGACAACTGTTGTATTGTTTAGGTCATACCAATAAACCACATCACAGAAGATTTAATTAGTATTCGGAATGAATGATAAATGTCAGAGGTCTAGTTTTAGATCTATTCTATCTTTGCCAAAATTATTTAAAAATACTTTTAAATACTATTAGGCCAATTATCTGTTTTTTTTTAATTAACTATCGTACCTCATATCGACGTATGCGTCAATAAGTCGCTGCTGCGCTGGCTCACTGAGTACGGGCTGTACGTACTCCTTGGCGTACGCTATGAAGTCGCGCATCACGCCCGTGCTCTGCAACATATACACAAACTGTGGGTTTCTCAGATTATAATCTCTGTATAAATCATATATCATCTTTGACAAAACAGAGATAAAAATATGTTTTAAACGGGGATTTTGGCCTCAGAAAACTAAGGAAAATTATCTGTACGTAAAAGTTAGCCACATTTTTATGTATACATTTTTAAAGTTCTAGTTTTTAAAGTCCGACAATGAATACATGCTATTAGTATGTCATGGTTACGTATATTTGAAACAGAAGATGTATATAAGTTTCTTTGCAAATGTATACATATTTATACAGCTGACTGTACAATAAGTATATAAACTTATATATATTGTAACTAACAATGTTTTCCTCGTCTTCCTGTGCGTCGGCGGGATCCTTATAGTAAAGAGAGACGAGATGCGCAGCCAGCCGGCGGTCAAACACCTCGTCCTGCGGGTCCAGTACTAGGAAGATCAAGTCGAATCTGCAAACAAACACACATAACGTTAAAAAAAACAATATTTTTTTTATTATGAGATAAACGAAATTAGGAAATTAACGCTATTTACTTTTTTAATAAAATAAATTTTACCGAAGACACTTTTAAGTATAAAATACAACGATAAAAGCATGAATTATTCTAGTGTTT